CAGTCCCTGGCACCACATAGAGTCCCCTAAGTCCAGCCAAGAATGATCCCTGAGCACAGAGCCAGGAGTAAACTTTGAGCCCAGACAGGTATGACCTAACAAAACTACAATAAGATATTTCTTGTATGGGGGCTGGAGTTATATTATAGCGGGTAGGGCGTTTGCCTTGCACACAGCTGACCTGGGTTTGATCCCCAGCATCCCATATGGTCCCCCGAACACTGCCAGGAGTAATTCCTGGGTGCATGGTCCAGGAGTAACCCTGAGCACCGCCGGGTGTGACCCGGAAAGCAAAAAAAAGAAAAAATATATTTCTTGTATGTAAATAGGGATAATATCAAGAAGTTTCTGTAAGAATCCAATAACGAGGTCTGAGAAAGAATGCAGGAGTTAAGGCGCTGCCTTGCCCTAGGCCTACAGGTGAATATGGTCCCCCAGCACTGCCAGGAGTTTCCCAGAGCACCGCTGGGTGTGGCCCCTCTCTCTAGCTTTAAATTAAAAGGGAATCTTAAAAAATAATAATAATACCCAAGCCCCTCTGAGCTGCAAAGCACTGTACCGAGTGAGGGCTCTTTATCAACGAGTAGTGCCAGCAGATGAACCCCAGAAGTCAAGAATCTCGCCCCGACCCACGGGGCGGCCCCTGCGTGCTTCTGAGCTGCCTCTGTCAAGAATGATCCTTTTCCGGTATCAGCCCCTGTTCTGCTGCCAGTCCGGAAACCCGCCTGCCCTGCTCCTTTGAGAGCTGATTTACTGATTGCTGGTTGATAACCCCTCCCTTGAGAGCGGCCTGGAGCCATCTGTACTTTCAGTCTCTGGGGCCTTGTGACTTGGGGCCTGAGTTCCCATTCAAGAGGTCACACCTAACCCCCTGCTCTGTGTGGAACTGACTCGCGCAGACCCCAGGGTTCTGCTCTGCAAATGCCCAGCTCTCCTCAGTTGTCTGTTGGAGACAAGTAGTGGAACGACCCCCCCTCCCCCAAACCACCACAGCCAAAGAGCTTCTCTTCTTTCCCCAAGGAAGACGCCACAGAATCCAAAGCAGAAGAATGTGCCCTGATTTACCACCATGTGGTAATGTGCCAGAGCCTTACGTATTTGTTAACCAATACACGCTGGGGGCCTTTCCTGCCATCATCGCGCTGTTCCCTGCTCCCACATCTCTTCTAGCTCCTTTGAACTGCCTGGTGCCCTGGCCGTGGGCATTTTTCTTCCCATTACATAAGTTGAAATACCGAGGCCCAAAGTGGTAACGTGCCTCCTGCTCCCTTGTAGTGAGTCTGCAGCAGGCAGAATTGGTGGGTGCTTAGGGGAGACCTCGTTTCTAAGTCAGATTCTTTTGACCGTCTGAAAGGGCCCTTCCTGGCACCCAGTCCGCCCAGGTTTTTTTGCCCTTTTCTCCTCTCCAGAGGTTGAATACACACACTTATTCATGCAGATAAGGGAGAAATATTTCCAATGTGCTCCAGAGAGAACCTCGTGGAGTAAAACTTTCCAACGGGTAGGACCCAGGGGAAGCCAGGCCTGGGAGGGAGCCGGGACCAAGCTCTGGGTCCTGTGCCATCCTAGCCACCAACTTTCCTTTTCTGATTCCCTGCAGGGAGCATTACTCCACCTCCAAGATAGAATTTTTGTTTTTTTCATTTGTTTTGGGTTTTTTTTTTTTTTTGAGGCCACAGCTGGCATTGTTTAGGGCTTACTCCTGACCCTGCTCTCAGGGATCACTCCTGGCAGGACTCAGGGGAACACATGCAAGGCAAGTGTCCTGCCCACTGCACTCTCTCTCCAACCTCCCAGGTGGACTTTTAAAAATTGTTTAGTGGTTTTTGGTTCGGATCCACACCTGGCAAAGTGTGGGGGTTACTCCTGACTCGGGAGGGTGGGGTTCTGTTCTCAGCAGTGCTTGTCAGACCATGTGTGCTAAGGATCAAACCTGGACCACCTGCAGGGCTGGAGCAATAGCACAGCAGGTAGGGCATTTGCCTTGCCTGGCTGATCGGGGTTCGACCTGGGTTCGATATTCAGCAATCCATATGGTTCCCTGAGCACTACCAGGAGTAATTCCTGAATACAAAGCCAGGAGTAACCCCTGTGCATCGCCAGGTGTAACCCAAAAAGCCAAAAAAAAAAAAAAAAACCTGGACCACCTGTGCATGCAATGCATGCACCAGCCTATCTCTCCAATTCTGACTCTTTATTTGTTTTGTTTTGTTCTGTGGCTACATTCAGCAGTGTTCAGAGGTTAACTCCTGGCTCTGCACTTAGGAATTATTCCTAGCAGTGCTTGGGGAACCATATGGGATGCTTAAGATTGAACACATGCAAGGCAAGCACCTTACCCACTGTATTATAGCTCTGACCCCCAGTCCTGACTTTTTTCGTTTGTTTTTGGGTCATACCCAGTGGTGCTTCAGGGCTACTCCTGGCTGAAAGCTCAGGGCCAAACCTGGCAGTGCTCTGGAGACCATGCGGTGCTGGGGGTTAAATCCAACCTCGTGGGGCAAAAGAGATAGTACAGGAAAGAAAGCTCTTGCCTTGTTCCACATATCGTCCCCCAAACACTGCCGGGAGTGAGCCCGCACAGAGTGAGGAATGAACCCTGAGCACACCAAAATCCTCCCCTCAACCAACAAACAAAAACCCACCACCAGCATGAACTCGAGTCCTTCGAAGGTTCTAGCTTAGCCCGCTGCCTGACCCTCAATGCCAAGAGAAACTACAGGGATTAAGGTACTCCTCTGGCACCACACAGGGTCCCGCAAACCCTGCCTAAGAACGATCCCGAGCACAGAGCCAGGAAGAGGCCCTAAGCACCCCTAGTGTCCCCCCTCCCCCGCCCCAAAAAAAAAGCCAAAACCAAAATTGATTTTTCAGGCTTTTGAACCCAAAGGTTGAGAGGTCATACTGAGGTTAAGGGGTTCTCACACCAGGCTATGGTTTTGCAGTGTAAGTAAAATGGAGAAAAGGGGCCAGTGATGCTGGGGCTATGGCAGGGGCAAGACCAGGGATTTAGCAGTCTGGTGTGTCTACAGCAGGGCTGCAGGGCTGCACCCCGCCACCCCAGTTAGGGTCCTGGCTATGAGGAAATCACGTGCTGGCGGAACGAGCGCCCGCAACTGAGGGGAAGCCGCCAGGGAGAGACTCCACACAGCAAGATTCATGCTCCAGGGTTTCTGGAAGCTGTCTTCTCTTTTAGGACTCAGAAGAGCAGCTCTTTGCCCCAGGTCGTCTGAGTTTCAGCGGAGACCAGGGTGGTGGCTGGAGCCTAAATTCCTTCTCTCATACTCACTCCATTAGTAATTACAACAGCCTGTTTATCGGGCACTTCTTCCTTGCCCTGCCTCATGCCAGTCACTCTCTGCACATTAGTTCTTTTCATCTTCGAGCTTTTCTAACGAGGAGGCAAGACTGTTCCCCATTTTTTGAATGAGGCTTGGGAAACTTAAATATGTTGCCCGAGAATATATTTATCCAGTCGGTGGTGCAGCCATTGGCCAGAGCCCCCGGCCCATCTGCACCCTGGCGGCCAAGCTCTCAGTCCTGGGCTCGTGCACAGGCCTGCAGGTGATCCCTGCCATGCCAGGGGTAGTTCAGGTGACCCCAGGCTCCACTCGGTGTAACCCCTATTTTTTAAAGAAGGTGAGGCAAGTGCTCTACCACTGAGCTACATCCCCGGGCCTGAGCTCCTGCAATCCTGATGTACATGCCAATTCCCAGGAGAGGAACAGGAGATCGGTCAGGCGTCTTGCCTTGCTCATCTGACAGATCCATTTTGCATGCCTGGGCTTGGATGATCCACCTCGTTTCACCACAGACCCTGAGAGAAGATGCAAATGTCTGGGCGTCACAGACTCTGCCTCATTCATCTCTAGGTGTCAGGGTTTCAGACCCGATCCCAGCCCCAGATCAACCGTGTGTGGGCAGAGGAGGATAATCATACTGATAAAAAATGAGGAGGCAGAGGTTCAGAGGGGCGGAGCACATACCTTACATGCACAAGCCCCCAGATTCAGTCCCCAGCATCTTGTGGCCCTTGAACACTGCCAGATATAGGCTTGTGGGCCCTCAGCTCTGCTGGACATGAGTGGCACTGCATCTCTGGACCCAAGCACCCAGCATCAGGCCTGGGTTGGCCACTGGGCTCCTGAGCACAGCATGGGCAGTTCTATCTCTCTTATGCGTGCACGCACACACACATACACACACAACACATACATAGAGTAATGGGGTATTGTGATGCTCATCCCACTTTCCCCATTCCAGGGAACCCTGATTTGGGGGTAAGTTGGCTATTGAGAATTACACTCATTACTCCTCGGGCTTCTGATTGAGCTTTTTGCTTTGTACTCAGCAGCTGAAATGTTGACTTGCAGTTGAAGGAGTCAGGATACTGGACAAGATGGGCCTTGAGTTGGGAGAGGTTCCACCCATGGCCACCTCTCAGAATGACCAGTGCCAGAACTCTTCTCTGATCCACTTGGGGAGAAGGGCCCATGAATGGTAGACTGCAACAGAGCTCTATACTGATACACTGTTAATAATAGTGATATTATTGTCTCCCCAATGTACAGATAATTGAGACATGGTGAACTGAAGTCATTGGTCCAGGGTCACAGCCGAGCCAGGAATTTTTGGTTTTTATTTTGGGCCACACCAAAAAGGATGACAAGCCTGGTGGTGCCCAGGCTTCTTCCAGCCTCCGTGCTTAGGGATCACTCCTGATGGTGCTCTGGGTCCTCCAGGTGCAAGGCAGGCACCATGCCTGCTGTACTTACTATCTCCCCAGCCCCTGGAGCCAGGATTTTACCTCAGTCAGTCTAGCACAGGAAGTTCTCTGCTCTGCCCCGGGATACCATCACTGTCTCGACAGTCTGAATGAGTTTGCAAGCCCACATTCAGTTAGGAGAAGAGGAACAGTTCCCCGTTCAAACAGCCTGCTGCTTTCTTGCCAGCGGGTGGAGAGCTCCCTAACCCCAAGTGCCCCTCTCGTCTGTCTCTAGGTCATCCAGAGCGTGTGCAGGAGGGGGAGGAGGCCTTGCCTCCACGTGCAGCAGCCGGTACCCACCATGCAAAGCATCAAGTGTGTGGTGGTGGGCGACGGGGCCGTGGGCAAGACGTGTCTGCTCATCTGCTACACGACGAACGCCTTCCCCAAGGAGTACATCCCCACGGTGTTCGACAACTACAGTGCCCAGAGCGCCGTGGACGGGCGCACGGTGAACCTGAACCTGTGGGACACAGCGGGCCAGGAGGAGTACGACCGCCTGCGCACGCTCTCCTACCCACAGACCAACGTCTTCGTCATCTGCTTCTCCATCGCCAGCCCGCCCTCCTATGAGAATGTGCGGCACAAGTGGCACCCCGAGGTGTGTCACCACTGCCCCGACGTGCCCATCCTCCTGGTGGGCACCAAGAAGGACCTGAGAGGCCAGCCCGACACCCTGCGGCGCCTCAAGGAGCAGGGCCAGGCACCCATCACGCCCCAGCAGGGCCAGGCGCTGGCCAGGCAGATCCACGCGGTGCGCTACCTCGAGTGCTCAGCCCTGCAGCAGGACGGCGTCAAAGAAGTGTTCGCCGAGGCCGTCCGGGCCGTGCTCAACCCCACACCCATCAAGCGCGGCCGGTCCTGTGTTCTCTTGTGACCCCGGCCCTCAGCTCGGAGGCGGCCCCTCCTTCCCCACCAGTTGTGCCTTGGCGCCTTGTCTGCCCCCAGCTGTGCCTTAAGGACTAATTCTGGTGCCCCTTGCCCGGGGGCTCTCCAAATGCCTTATTCTCCGAATGCCTATTTCTCCTTGTGGAGACCCCCGCAGGGAAAGGGGCTCTGGGCCCGCCCCCCCTCCCAACCTGGGGAGACCAAGTATTCTCGAGAGCTCACCCAGGCCAAGGTTGGACCCCCTTGCCCTCTGCCCCTACTGACCAGTCCATCCAGCTTTCCACAGCCATTGTTGCCTACTGTGGCGCCTCCTCTCAGGGTGGGAGCGCTCAGCCACCCCTAACCTCCTCCTTGCTGCTCTCTGGAGCCCTCACCGCCCCGACTCTGTCCCTTCCCCAGGGAAGGAGCCACAGAAGCCTGAGATGAATGTGCCTAACCTGCCTGCCTGTGCCCAGGCCTGATGCTCCCGCTGACTGACTCAGTCCCCGTCCCACCCCCAGGGCGACCGGGGGACCTTTCCTACCCCCTAGCAGCATCAATAAAACCTCCTGTCTCCAGTGGCCCGGGCTCCTCCCTGTGTGCTGTGCATTGGGGGTTGGGCAGGGCCATCCGAGGCTGGGGCTCCCCAGAGACTGGGAGTCTTTTGTTTCCTCTAAGAGGGGACAGGAGACAATAGGCTTCATTGTGGTCCCCCACCTCCCAATTTCCCTAACAAAGCTCCCAGGCTCCCTTGGAGGGACCAGTCTTGCTGCAGGCCCAGCCACAGGTTCTGGAGGGATGCGAAGCGGGAGGAGAGTGGACCCAGGATGATGCTCAGGCTCACTGCAGGCAGGTGCAGCCCAGCCAAGGGGCCTCACTCCTCTTCTGCCCCCACGAGGACCAGCCTTGATTAGCAGAACTGAGGACCTTGCCAAGCCTTTGCCATGAGCCACGTCTCTCCCAGGTATCCCACCATCCAGCACTGAGTCATTACAGGGATAGCTTGGCCACTCCTGCTGCCCAGAAAAGGAGAAGGGGTGCCCAGAGGGCTCCCAGTATAAGGGAGGTGGGCAGTACGTGGACTCCCAGCCTCCCATGGACTGACTCCCTCACCTCAACTCCATTAGAGAAACAAGGCCAAAGCCAAAGAGAAGCAAACCTAGTTCAGACTGTTGGGGGGGAAAAAAAACTCTCTTTAAAATAAAATGTACAATCGGGGCTGGAGCAATAGCACAGCGGGGAGGGCGTTTGCCTTGCACGCGGCCAACCCAGGTTCGAATCCCAGCATCCCATATGCTGAGCATCGCCAGCAGTAATTCCTGAGTGCAGAGCCAGGAGTAACCCCTGAGCATCGCCGGGCGTGACCCAAAAAGCAAAAAAAAAAAAAAAAAAGTACAATCGAAAGAGTTCAGGGCATGGGGTAGCAGGGAGGATGGGGAAGGTGTGTGTGGGGGGAACCAGGGAGCGCATTTTGGGGTTGGAACCTTAACCCCTTTACCCCACTCCTTTGCAAAGAAAAACTAAGCCAGAGATCTCAGGAAGGAAGGGCAATACATACTTCCAACTGCTTTCTCTTTCTTTTTATTTTATTTTTTTTGGTTTTGGGGCCACACCTGGTGGTCCCAGCTTTGTGCTCAGGAATCACTCCTCATGGTGCTTGGAGGACCATATGGGATGCCAGAGATGGAACCCGGGTTGACCGTGAGCAAGGCAAATGCTCTCCCTGCTGTACTATCACTCTGGCCCCTCCAAGTGATTTTTCTGAGCAGGACATCCGGTGGGTATACAATACCACCTACACAGGGTGACATCCAACCCTTGGAAGCCAGAGCCTGCCTGCCCGGTGTCATCCACAGGGACACCCAGGGGCTCAGAGAAGGGGAAACAACAAATTCAAGAGACAGAGTCAGGACTAGGGCCTTTGGCAGCTTGAGTGGGGCCTGCAGCCATCGGCCTGGTCGTGCACAGTGGACCGAGAGGCATATCAGTCACATGAATGACCTGTGAGGAGAAGTGGCTGCGGTTTTCAGGTGATGGCCACTGCTCGGTGGTCCCTGACCTCAGTGAGGGTGGCTATGTTAAGGCCAAGAACCGGATGGTGGTTTGAACCTCAGGACTTTTTTTTTAGCACCAGAGGGTGGAGCCCTGCTGCTAGCTCAGCTTCTTGGGGCGTCTCCAGGAACAGGGATGTGGCCTGAAAGCCCCTGTCCCACGAGGAGGCTGAGGGAGCGGCCAGCAGGGCTGGGGCAGGCCTTGTGCTCAGTGTCCCCTCCCCCAGCTCCCACGGGGCGCAGAAGGGACTCTGGGTAGGGAAGGCCCGAGGGAACTCTTGTTTCTAGTTCTGGGCAGTGGACCTCCTTCCTCTTCCACTTCCTTCTCCTCCTCTTCCTCTTCCTTGGCAGATGAGACGGGTTTAGAATCGCTTTTCCTCAGGCTGGGAGGTAATAAGCAGCTCCTTGTTCCCGAAGTCCCACCAGGCCGTCATGTGAAACGCCATGTTCGTTAGAACAACAGTGTATTCCAGGACAGCGAAGATGGTGTACACTGTGGTGAGGACCAAGAAACAGAGCAGTGAGGGGGCCACAGCCACACAGCCGACCCAGCCGCAATTCTAGCACCCCTTCTTGTATGGTCCTTTGAGCTCCGCTGGGTGGGCTTGAGCACTGCTGGGTATGCCTCCACCTCCCCTGCATCTCCCACCCCCCCCCCAAAAAAAAAGAAATAGGACAATGAGCTTCCTGCCACCACCACTTCCCAGGGGTCTTGGGATAACTTACCATCATCACACCCCTCCCCAGGGAACACCGTGGCAGCCACAGCCCAGACCATATTCATGGTAGGAAATAAGTGGCTGGGGCGATAGGCTGCAGGTATGAATCCCCTACAGGATGATCACCTGCAGCCCCTATCACCCCTCCAAAAAAAATTATAATAAGGAGGGGAGGGGAATCTCAACCATTCCTGGCCTCACCTCCGGGCTCACAATACATGTTGTGCCGAAAGTAGACAGCCAACGCCGTGAAGAAGGAGATAAAGTTGATGATGAAGAGCCGCTGTTTCCAGTTGTAAGACTTACGGTCCTAGAGGACGGGCTGAGTGAACGGCCTGCAACCTGTCGGCTCTGGAGGGGGGCAGCCCCCACTCCCAGCCCCAGCTCCTCCCGAGGGATAAGAGCATGTTCACCCCCTGTATCTGGGGGCTGAGGAGCTGTGGGATCCCCAGCCTGCCTGCTCAGTGGGGAGAGAGTCACCCACCCACCCCAGAGCTCCAGAGATTGGGGGGAGGAGAGAAAGGGCGGACAGTGTGATTTGAGTTCCCAACAGACCAGTCCCTGCATGTTAATTCTTTTTTTTTTTTTTTTTTTTTAGCTTTTTGGGTCATACCCGGCAATGCATAGGGCTCTCCACTCAGGAATTACTCCTGGCAGTGCTCGGGGGAATCATATGGGATAGTGGGAATCAAACCCGGGTCGGCCACGTGCAAGGCAAACGCCCTACCCACTGTGCTATCTCCAGCCCCTCTTGACTTTCTTTACTTTCGCTGCCAGTTCCCTCCCACACTATCCACATAGCCCAGGATGCCAGGCAAGCTCCCTCCATTAGCCCTCAACCCCAGCTCGATTCCCCACGAGAATACCAGGTACCACCTCCCCGCTGCCCACACCTGGAGGACGGGTGTCACTGATGGTCCTCTGGGTGTCTGGGAGCCCTAGTCGGGATCAACCGTACCTCGTAACTTACTGTGTGCTTCTTGGTCAGCCGCCAGAGAATGCAGGTGAGAAGCATGTGGCCAAGGGAGGCGGCAATGAATACAATGAAAGCGTTCTCATGGATGGCTGGAACGAGAGAGGGTGGGTGACCCCCCAACTCCGAGGGAGGGCGAGGCTGCGCTTAGGAGATCCTCCCCCGGGCCCTCCCCCGGCCCCGCCCCCCTCCTCCCCCTGGCACCCACTGAAGTCCTCGGAGGAGGAGACGTAGGTGAGCACGAGCAGCGCGACATTCTCCAAGACGTTGAGGCTGAAGTTGAGGCGGCACAGCTGGCGGTAGCCGGGACATGGGGAGGTACAGCTGAGGTAGTGGTTCCAGTAGGCGAAGGCCACCAGGAAGCGGGGGTGCCGAGTGCAGGCCGATGCAGAAGCGCCACACGTAGCGCTGGGGCACCTCCCCGCCGATGGCCGAGCTCACCGACGGCAGGTAATTGGGCACCTAGAGAGTCGCGGCTGGTGAGTGGCAGCCCCGGGCACCCCTGCCCGCCTCGCAATCCTCCTCTCCTGGCAAAGCTTCCGGGCCCTAACGCCTCTGCTTCACTGGCTCCCTTCCAGAATATCCCCCTTCCAGAACATCCCCCTTCCAGAACGTCCCCCTTCCAGCCCCAGGAGCTGCCATGTCCCTGTGTGACCCTGGCCCTGGCCCTGGCCCTGGCTGCGGGTAGGCCCCCCTCCCCCCAAACATGAATCTCATTCCCAGCCCAGCTTTGGTGCTGGAGCAAGTCGGGTGCTTCTTTCTCAGTCTCCCTCCCCAGAGCACTGCCAGGTGGCTGAGCGAGTTGCTGGCAGGCCCAGAGGCTCTCAGAGCCCAGAACCTTCCTCCACGAGGCCCTGTGGGAAGTTCCCTGAGCCCTGGGCCCCCAATGCATTCCCAAGGACCGAGCAGAGTCACAGGCCATCTGTGCTTGCTTCTGGCACAGTGCTGCATTCACTGCCTGGCCGAGCTGTTCCTCTGGCTGCTCCAAGCAACGTGTGTTCTTCCGGGCACATGTGCCAAGATGGTGGGGGAGGGGGCTTGGGGGGGTGGGTGCAGAACCACCGTGAGATCCTGGGAGAGTCTGAGAGAATGACCCTGTTCTTAGGCATCCCTCAGTGCCTGGGATCCTTTGTTCCTCAACACCTTGACGTCAGTGCGTGGTTCACACTTGAATGTGGCGCAATTAACAAAAACCAGCAGCGCCCTGGCCCCCACATGGAACTGCAGCGTTGCTGCTTAAGGCCGAGGGAGGAAGAGGCACGAATACAGCTGCGAGGATGGACGGGTGAGAGACTCTGAGGGAGAACAGCAGTGTTACGCGGGCACAGACACACGTGAAAAGACGATCTCTGACTCGGAGGTCTAGAGCAGTGCTTCTCAACGGTTTCATCTTCATCCAAGCAGTGCTCAGAGGGACCAGGGGTCAACCCCAGTGATAGTCAACCCAGCTTCACGAGCCCAGAGTTTCAGTTTACCAACCCAGCAGTCTCCGGGGTCACCAGGGCCTTACCTGGTACTGTTCTGGCATGCAAAGTATGCACTTCAGCCCTATGAACCATCTCTTGCCCTCCTCCCTTTTAAAGAATTTTTAAATTAAAAAAAATTATTTTGGGGCTGGAGCAATAGCACAGCGGGTAGGGTGTTTGTCTTGCATACGGCCAACCTGGGTTCAATTCCCAGCATCCCATAGGGTCCTCCGGGCACCACCAGGAGTAATTCCTGAGTGCAGAGCCAGGAGTAACCCCTGTGCATCACCAGGTGTGACCGAAAAATCAAAAGAAAAAAATTTTTTTTTCTTTTGGGTCACACCCAGTAGTGCTCAGGGCTTACTCCTGGCTCTGTGCTCAGGGAACCATAAAGGGTACAAGATTAAATTCAGGTCGGCCACAAACAAGGCAAATGCCCTACCCACTGTACTATCACTTCACCCCCTCACCACTTTTGTTTTTTAAAAAACTTTATGAGTCTCATACATGAAGGCATGTGCTCTATGACTGAGCAACACCCCCAGCCTCGCAAACTCTGAACACACATACAACTCACTAACTCTCTGCGGCTGGTAAGAGAATACAGGTCTGGATTCTGAGAATCTGCATTTCCACCTAACTCCAGGACTGCAAACGCCACCGTTCTGTTACCTACACTTCTGTGAGCTTTTTAAAAAATGTCAGCAAGAAACAAAAAGAAAACAAACAAAATAAATAAATAAAACTTCAGCAAGAGCCAGAATTAGTGCCAAGCCCAACAACCCAGTGAGGGAAGAACCTTGTACTGACTCTGAAGGCACTGGGCTTCAGACACAGGTTCTTGGTCAGGGGTGTGGCTCAGGAACAAAGTGCACACCTGGCATGCGTGAGACCAGGATTCAATCCCTGACATTACATAATAGTAATAATAATTACTATCAATAATAATAAATAAAAATACTCTTCTAGGGCCAGAACCATAGGACAATGGGTAGAGCATTTGCCTTGCTCATAGCTGACCCAGGTTCAATCCTTGGCATCCCATATGGTTCCCTGTGCATTGCCAGGAGTAATCCCTGAGCACAGAACCAAGAGTAATGCCTGAGCATTGCTAGGGGTGATCTACAAAATGAAAGAAAGAAAGAAAGAAAGAAAGAAAGAAAGGAAGGAAGGAAAGAAAGAGAAAAGAAAGAAAAGAAGGAATAAAGGAAGAAAGAAAGGAAGAAAGGAAAGAGGGAAGGAAGGAAAGAGAAAGGAAGAAAAAGAAGAAAAAGAAAGGAAGGAAAAAGGAAGGAAGGAAGGAAGGAAAAAGGAAGAAAGAAAGAAACAAAGGAAGGAAGAAAGAAAGAAGGATAGAAAGGAACAAAGGAAGAAAGAAAGGAAGGAAAGAAGAGAAAAAGGAAGGAAGGAAGGAAGAAAGAAAAAAGAAAAGCACTCTTCTAAATTGATAGAGTTCAGGCAGATCCCTTTCTTCCAGTAGAGAACTGCTGAATGGAGAGGTAGGAAGGTGAGCCAGGAAGGAAGCAGTCCCCTGGGCAAGGTAGGCCTGGGAGGACCATGCAGGGACTTCACAGCCTACAGAGAAAAGAAGATAGAATCTCCTTAGCACTGAAGAAGAGCACAACTGTCAAGGCCATGGCTAGAGGCACGGGCTCAGATATGCACACTGAGTAACAAGCCAGAGGGCCCTGGAGGCTTTTGAGTTACATAAACCTGAGTCTGCATCCCAGCTGGGGGACCTTGAGCAAGTCAATTCTCCTCTCTGAAGAGAGGGTGACACTAAGTGCATGTGTGCAAAACATCTGCACCAACCACGGATGGCTTAGGAAAACACATTTCCCTGTGAAGCCTGCAAATAGCAAAGAGAGCTGTGTGCCTGCTGAACACAGGAAGGTCTGTACAAGAGGAACGAGGTGGGGGGGGAGGGGGAATCACACCTTCAACAAACACTTCCTTTTTGTTGTTGTTGTTGTTGTTTTCTTTTGTTGAGGGGGATCATCTACCTAGTGATGCTCAGAGGCTACTCTGGGTTCTAGAGTCACCCTGGTGGTTCTTGGGGAAAAATATGTGCTAGGCATTGAGCCCAGGCCCCCAGCCTGCAAAGCATGCACTCAGCGCTTCCAACTCTCAGAGACATGCAAGCCTTCTTGCTTCACTTATTCTTCCTCTCCAGGTAGGGCCCCTGAGGAAGGGTCGAGGGCTGTGTGGCCTCCATTACCCTGGGTATTTATCCTGAAAACTCCAGCCCCCTATTCAGCTACTTTAAGGAGAATAAGAACCAGCATCCAACCAACACTTGGCAGGGAGAGGAACAAGCACGCAGGGTCCCAAGTCCTGGTGGATGCTGGAAAACCGGGTAGAGATGCTGGAGCTGGGAGAAGGTCTCGGGAGGAAGAGAGAATGAGGGCCCCAGGGTTGCCGCTCCTCTCCTCATAAAGTCATCTCAGAGTGGGGTGGAGGCACGATCCAAGAATAGGAACTGTCTCTCTCATCACACCCTCTCTCTCACACGGACACAACCCCCCCCCCCACACACACACAGAGTGAAAAATAAGGCAGATGCCCCCCTCCAAAACACAAGTTCCCACTCACCTACGTGTCAGCCACCAGCAGCACCAGGAACTCTCAGAGACCAGGTACAGGGCACACCCCAAATCTCCCCAGGAGTGCTGAGTTGATGGCTCAGTAGATTCGTGTAGAATACATAAGAAATTCACATAGCATAAAGGTCCCTACGATAGCCCCAGCAGATTTCAACAATAGGGATTCATTCCTTTGGCTTTAGATAAGAGTTCCCTGAGGTCATAGGCTTTGCATGCGGGAGGTCTGGATTTGCTCCCTGGCACCACATAATAGTACACAAAATACATAATAGTACATCTGAGCATTGCTGGGAGTGGCCTCCAAGCCTCACTGTCACCTGAGGCTTTCTTTCCCCCAAGAGTACGCTGAAGATTGAAAATGTAGTTCAATAGACTGAGCACCAAAAATCCCCTTGAGGGGCTGGAGAAATAGGACCATGATAGGGCATTTACCTTGCACGTGGCTGACCGTGCAAGGGTCTGATCTCAGCCATCCCATATGGTCACCCAAGCACTGCCAGAGTAACCCCTGAGCACCACAGGGTGTGGCAAAAAAGATTAAATAAATAAAATAAAATGAAATTGAAAAGCTAACGGGGTCAGCCTCATGCAAGGCAAAGTGCCTTAACTCCTGTACTATCTCTCTGGCCGTCAAAAAAAAAAAAATTAATGTTTTTCCTTGAAATTAAAAATGAATTTTCTTACCTTTTTTCCTTGGGGTGTGGGGAGAGGGGGATCCTCCCTGGGGGTGGTGGAGGCCATGGGGCACCTCTGGTGGTGCTAAGGTGGCCATGCCTTGCTGCACAGTGAACCCAGGCTCACACTTTAGGCCTTTGTGCTACCTCCCTGGTAATAGACTTTTCTGTTGAAGCTACTGCCCCATCCCTGCCAGCGAACAAAAACCCCCATTCTTGTCATTTCTACTTGTTACTGTTCTGTGGATCCCATCCCTTCTTTATCTCGAGAGTCTCCATCTGAGATCTGGTCTTCCTGCTAGCTCTGGCCTCCCCACGGGGCTCCACTCTCCCCCTCAGCCCCTAAACCTGCTCCTATTCGGGGCCCCAAACTGTCTTCTTTTCAATTATGTGATGGAGACGGTGGGGGTAGCGGTGTCTGGGCCAAACCCAGGGGTGTTCAAGGCTAGTCCTGGTTCTGGGGGTTGTAGCAACAATAGTACAGGAGATGGGGTGCTCGCTTTGCATGCCGCTCACCTGGGTTTGATCCCCAACATCCAATACAGTCCCCCAAGCACCACCAGGAGTAATATCTGAATACAGAGCTAGGAGCAACCCCTGAGCATCAACGAGGCCAGGTGTGGCCCCAAAACGAAAGAACAAAAGGCTATTCCTGGTTCTGTGCTCAGGAGTGACCCCTGGTGGTGCTTGGGGGCCCTAAGGGGAGCTGGGGATTGAAC